GTTGCTTTTTAATGTCCTAAGTTATAGTCAATTCTTGAAAATATTCCATGTACTCCTGAAAAGAATGTATATTCTGTGGTTGGTAGTTATGTCAATTAGGACAAGTGTCTTAATCATGTTCAAATTTGGCTTGCCCTTCTTAATGATTTGTTTTTTCCATCAGTTACTGAGACAGGTACGTTAAAATGTTCAATTATGATTGTGTATCTACTTATTTCTCCTTTTGTCTCTTTCAGTTTTACCTAACAAGCTTGGAGACTATGTTATTAGATGCAGACAAATTTGGGATTGCTATATTCTCCTATTTGGTTGACTCATTTATTATTAGAAAATGTCTTTCCTTAACCATAATATTTCCTGCCTTTTGACCATCCCTTTTAAAGCAGCCCTCCTTGCCACTCCCCAGCTTCCTCTGCTTCAATTTTTTAAAGACTTTTTTTCTAACAGCAGCTTTTCAGTCATAGCAAAATTAAGACGAATGTACAGAGATTTCCCATATACCTCCTGTTTCTACAAATTCATAGCTTCTCCATTATCAACATCCCCCACCAGAGCGGTACATTTGTTACAATTGATGAACCTACACAGACACATCAATTATCAGTCCAAGCCCATAGTTTACCTGAGGGGTTCACTCTTGATAGGTATGTAATGGTATCTCATTGTTATTTTAATTTGCATTTCCCTGATGACATATGTTGTGGTGGAACATCTTTTTATATGATTATTTGCCAACTGTGTAACTGTATATCCCTTTGGTGAGGTGTCGTTTAAAATCTTTGGCCCCCCACCCCCTTTTTTTTTTTTGAGAAGGAATCTTGCTCTGTCACCCAGGCTGGAGTGCAGTATCTCAGCTCACTGCAACCTCTGCCTCCCAGGTTCAAGCAATTCTCCTGCCTCAGTTTCCCTAGTAGCTTGAATTATAGGCACACACCACCAAACCTGGCTAATTTTTTGTATTTTAGTAGAGACGGGTTTTTACCATGTTGCCCAGGCTGGTCTCAAACTCCTGAGCTCAAGCAATCCTCCTGCCTCAGCATCCCTGAGTGCTGGGATTACAGGTGTGAGCCACTGCACCCGGCCTCTTTGGCCACCCCTGCCTTTTTTTTTCTTTTTTTTTTTTTTTTTTGAGACAGTGTCTCACTCTGTCCTGCAGGCTGGAGTGCAATCGTGTGGTCTTGGCTCACTGCAACCTACACCTGTCTTCTGAGTAGCTGGGATTACAGATATCCACCACCATGCCCGGTTAAATTTTGCATTTTTAGTAGAGACGGGGTTTCACCACATTGGCCAGGCTGGTCTCAAACTCCTGACCTCATGATCCGCCCACCTCAGCCTCCCAGGGTTCTAGGATTACAGGAGTGAGCCACCTCACCCTGCTGACCCATTCTGTAATTAGATTGTTTTCCTATTGTTTCATTTTAAGAGTTCTTTGTATATTTTGGATAACAGTTCTTTGTCAAATATGTCCTTTGCAAATATTTCCTTTCAGTCTGTGGTTTCTCTTCTCATTCTCTTGACATTGTCTTACTCAGAACAGATGTTTTTAATTTTAATGAAATTCAGCTTATCGATGATTTCTTTCATGGATCATACCTTTGGTGTTGTATCTAAAAAGTCATCGCTATTGACATACCCAAAGTCATTTAAGATTTCTTTTGTTATCTTCTAGGTGTTTTATAGTTTTACATTTTACATTTAGGTCTATGATCCATTTTGAGTTAATTTTTTGTGAATGATATAAGGTTTGTGTCTTAGTTAATTTTTTGGCATATGAATATTTGTTTCAGCACCGTTTATTGAAAAGAACAATAGTTGCTCCTTTGCTTCTTTGTCAAAGAGCAGTTACTATATTTATGTGGGTCTATTTCTAGGATCTCCATTTTGCTCCACTGATCTGTTCTCTCACCAATACTACACTATCTTGATTACTTTGGCTTTAAAATAAGCATTAAAGTTGGGTAGTGTCAGTCCTCCAACTCTATGTTCTTCTCCAATATAGTGTTGGTTATTCTTGGTCTTTTGCCTCTCCATATAAACTTTAGAATTAGTTTGTTGATATTCACAAACTAACCTGCTAGGATTTTGATTGGAATTGCATTTAATCTATAGACCAATTTGGGAAGAGCTGACATCTTGATAATAATGAGTCTTCCTAACCATGGACATAGAAAAATCTCTCCATTTATTTAGCTCTTGGTTGATTTCTTTCATCAGAATTTTGTAGTTTTATTATATTTTATATAAATCTTGTACGTATTTTGTTAGATTTATACCTAAGTATTTAACTTTGAGAGATGCTAATGTATATGGTATCATGTTTTTAATTTAAAATTCCACTTGTTTATTGCTCATCTATAGGAAAGTAATATTTTTATATATTAACCCTATATTCTGCATCTTGCTGTAATAGCTTATTAGTTCCAGGTTTGTTTTGTTTTTCTGATTCTTTCAGGTTTTCTTTGTAGATAATAATGTCATCTGTAAACAAAGACAGTTTTATTTCTTCCTTCCCAATTTGTATGCCATTCCATTCCTTGTCTTGAATACACAAAGAATCAAGACTTAATAATTTATACTTGAGCCATATTCCTGGCTTAGGAATTTCAAAATGTGACTCTTCCCTTATTTTAACTTTGGCAGACAACTGGGATTGACACCAGTATTTCATAATAGCTTAAGGTCTGTATCACACTAATCTCTATGCTCCAAATGCAGAATTCCTTTGATTATGTTTATAAATTTACATATCTATGGTTAAAACTGGTTCAGAACCAAATTATCAGGACTTCTACCAAGTTTCTTCTATCTCACACAATATGAATATTCAATGCATGGTAAATAAAAATGATGAATAAAAAGTATAATGTTTTGTATATTTTAATTCTTTCCTGACTTAACCCACTTTAAATGATCAATCATTTTATGTTTTGTCCCAATAATCCTCCTTGGACCATTCTGATTTTATAGCAATGTAAAATGTCTCTCTATAGGCTTACAGAATTTTAATCAAATAGCTTTTGCTCAGAACTTAAAAAGACATTTGTCCTTGGGGCTAAAATTAGCCATGAAAAAGATTAAAAACAAAAGCAAATTTAGAATATAATCAGTACTTTCAAAATGAGCTCAATCTGTACTTCATCCTCATTTATAACACTTGTTTCTTCTTAGCTTCTAATAGAATAAGAAATAGTTGTGCGAAGAATATATTTACATTTCTGAGGTTCCAAAAACAGATGAACCTCACAGCTCATGCTCTTTTGTGGTTTGCAATGTCACAGGCCACCTTGGTTGGAATGATTCACATAATGATCACACTCTGAATAGGAAATAAAAAACAAAGTTCTATACAGTTTCACCAAATGTCTTGTTCTTGTATTTTTTTCAGAATTATTAAATGTAGTACCTTTTTTTCCTGTTCTGGTAAGTGGATCTGTTTGGATACCACCTTCATTTCAAACACTATTTTCAGAAAAGACCTCAGTAGTGCTTAAAGACTCCTGTTACGGTTTGAGTGTGTCACTCTAAAGTTCATGTGTTAAAAATTTAATCCCCAATGCAATAGTTTCGGGAGGTAAGGCCTAATAAGAGGTGACTGGGTCATAAGTGTGGAATCTTCACAAATAGATTAATCATAGGAGCAGGTTAGTTATCTCAAGAGGAGGTTGTTTTAAAGCAAGTTGAGTTTCTGGTGTCTTTCTCTGTTGCAAGTGCTCTCTTTCACCTTTCACCCTCTGCCATAGGATGATCCTCACCAGATGCTGACATCATGTTCTTGGACTTCTCATCCTCCAATAACCATGAACCAAATAAACTTCCATTATTTATAATTTACCCAGTCTGTGGTATCCTGGTATAGTAGCAGAAAATGGACTAAGACAACTTCACTATCTGGCCAAGAGGAGACTCAAGTATCACAAAATTAGCAAAGGGATGTCCAAAGCTAATTAAGTGTCAACATAGCTGAGATTTATTTTAAAAATGCAGAAATTATAGTTTGTTAGACTAAACCAGGCAAGGCACCCAATTAGAAAGTACTTCTGAGACATTTTAGCTTTAAGCACTTAGTTTGATAATTTGGAAAGGCCTGGATGGCAATATAACTAATATTTATCAGGATATTATGTGAGTTATTCCTCATATCTGAAGTTGAAGTTAATAATTTAACTGATTATCAAATAGGTTTCAAGAATTTGGGTAAAAGATTTACCAATTAATATATACAGAAGGATAGATTTCATAATGAGTCCTGACATTTTTCCACATCTCTACTTTTACTTTCTCAAATGTACTACTGAGATCCTTGCAGCTCCTTGATAGTGCTTGGGGCTGAATGTTTTTCTCCATGCAGTGTGCTTTTCCATTCTCCACCTCACTTGCCTTCCAAACCAGCTTAGAAGAAACCTGCTTTACTGAGCTCTCTTCTGACACAGAACACTCCCTCCCCCACCAGACACCCACAAAATCTCCTTTGTTTGCACTGATTACTTATTTCTATAGTTGCAGTCACTGTATCAAATTGAAATTAATTTTTTTGATTATGGGCTTATCACAGGGCCTGGCTTACAGTAAACACTCAGAAAATGCAATAACCACAGGTAGGGAGTAGGAGAGGATTTAGTCAATTTCTTCCTGCTCTGAAGGAAATTTTAAGCTCCCGAAAGCCAGAAAACTAATCAAGACACAAAGCAAAATTCGCAGGAGCACCTTTTTGCTGAAAAGAGAACCCAAAATTTCCAAAATTTAGTCAAATATTCATATCCATATCCTTTCAGGAGTAGGTAGCTATATGTAACTTTAAGAGTACTAAATAGAGAATAAGATCATAATTTCAGCTGGTCACTGACATTTAGCTCTTCTTCCTGCTGACATGTATAAAAGAAAATATAGAGGGTTAAACTCTATGAAGTCTCTCAGGGTCTACAATACCTCTTTCTTCTAAGAGCACTCTTGTCTATTTATAGTGATATATCCAGGTGCAAATTACAAAGAAAGCTTACTGTTTACACTCAGGCTCATGCTGTCCTGCTCTTAAAGAAAATCGGCTACATGTGGACTTGTCCAGTTGTTTTTTCCGGTAACTGCCTGTGTATGTTGTCACAGAAGAATCTGACCATCGAGTTTCATCCTGCCAAGATGCTCCAGCCTTGCGTCTGATCAGATCAAACTCTTGAGAAGTAAGAGGGCTAAAGGGCAGAAGAATTTGTGGAGTCAAGTAGAAGAAGTGTGACATAACTACGAAAGGCCTGCTCTGGATGACAAGTTGTCAAGTCCTCTGCATAATGAAGAACTAATTTTCTTCTAGTAGCAGGAAGCAATTGACTGGGCTCACCAAACTTTGTGACTCAACAGTTCACAGAGTGCAGAAGCTTAACTGTCTTAGATATAGTTGCCAAGCAACGAATCACAAAAATTCCACAAATGCTACCCTCTTGCCTCCTGAGGTAGGGAAATTTTAACTAACAAATTTGTAAGTTATATAACTTTCTGGACTTTAAGAAATATGCTGCTTCATAATTATGGCAAGAAAGCAGGTGGCAAAATTATTTGTATATTACTGCTATCAGAAATAAAGCAGTAATTCCCAATGATGGTGGTTCAAGAAGTGGAAACAAGAGATGAAAGAACAGTGCCAAGCATTCACTTCCCCTAAAGACCTAGCCTCCAAGTGTCTGAAAGAGAACATGAACTGCTTATAATGTCAGCAACAGCAGGTGACTCAACAGCTTCTCATATGTCACAGAGTAGTGGTGCTCTGGCTGGCTGCACACTTGAGTCACCCTGAAAGCCATTAAAATAAGCAGGAGTCTAGGCCCCCACCATGGAGATTCTGATTTAGTTGGTGTGGAGTAGGGCCCAGGCATCACTATTTGTTTAAAGCTTAATCCTGGAGGATTCTAAAGAGCAGCCAGGGTTAAGAATTAAGGTCATGGATGCAGAAAAAAACATTTGACAAAATCCAGCATCCCTTTAGGACTAAAGCCTTCAGCAAAATCAGCATAGAAGGGACATACCTCAAACTATGAAAAGCCATTTATGAAAAACTCACAGCCAACATTATACTGAATGGAGAAAAGTTGAAAGCATTCCTCCTGAGAACTGGAAAAAGACAAGGATGCCCACTTTCACCACTTCTATTCAGCATTATACTGGAAGTCCTAGCCAGAGCAATCAGATAAGAGAAAGCAATAAAGAGCATCCAAATTAGTAAGAAGGAAATCAAACTCTTGCTGTTCACCGATGATATGATCATATACCTAGAAAATCCTAAAGACTCATTTGAAAAGTTTCTAGGTCTGATAAATTAATTCAGTAAAGTTTCAGAATACAAAATCAAGGTACACAAATCAGTAGCACTGTTATACGCAATCAACAACCAAGCTAAGAATCAAATTAAGAACTTAACCCCTTTTATAACAGTTACAAAAATAATAAAATACTTAGGAATATACCTAACCAAGGTAATGAAAGATGTCTGCAAGGAAAACTACAAAACACTATTGAAAGAAGTCATAGATAAGAAAAACAAATGGAAACACATCCCACGTTCATGGATGGGTAGCATTAATATTGTGAAAATGAACATATTGGCAAAAACAATCTATAAATTCAATGCAGTTCTCATCAAAATAACATCATCATTCTTCAAAGAACTAGAAAAAAAATCCTAAAATTAATATGGAGTAAAAAAAGTCTGTGTAGCCAAAGCAATACTAAGCAAAAAGAACAAATCTGGAAGCATCACATTACCCATCTTCAAACTATACCACAAGGTTGTACTTACTAAAACAGCATGGTATTGGTATAAAAATAGCCACATAGACCCAGGGAACAGAACAGAGAACCCAGAAATAAAGCCGAATACTTACAGCTAACTGATCTTTGACAAAGCGAACAACAGCATAAAATAGGGAAAGGACACCCTATTCAACAAATGGTGCTGGGAAAATTGGCAAGTCATATGTAGAAGAATGAAACTGGATCCTCATCTTTCACCTTAATCAACTCAAGATGGATCAAAGACTTAAATCTAAGACCCGAAATCATAAAAATTCTAGAAAATAACACAGGAAAAACTCTTCTGAACATTGGCTTAGGCAAAGACCTCACGACCAAAACACAAAAGCAAATGCAACAAAAACAAAGATAAATAGATGGGACCTAATTAAATTAAAAAGCTTCTGCACAGCCAAAGATATAATCAGAAGAGTTAGCAGACAACCCACAGAGTGGGAGAAAATATTTGCAAACCATGCAAAGTTTTCATTCTAGATGAAGGACTAATATCCAGAACCTACAAGGAACTCAAAGAAATCAGCAAGAAAAAAACAAATAATCCCACCGAAAAGTGGACTAAGGATATGAATAAACAATTCTCAAAAGAAGATGTATGAGTGGTCAACAAACCTATGAAAAAATGCTCAGCCTCACTAATCATCAGGGAAATGCAAATCAAAATGAGATATTACCTTACTCCTGCAAGAATGGCCATAATGTAAAAATCAAAAAATAACAGATGTTGGCATGGATGTGGTGTAAAAGGAACACTTTTATACTGCTGGTGGGAATGTAAACTAGTACAACTACTATGAAAATCCGTATGTAGTTTCCTTAACTAAAAGTAGAACTACCATTTGATCCAGAAATCCCACTACTTGGTATCTACCCAGAGGAAAAGAAGTCATTATATGAAAAAGACACATGCACATGCATGTTTATAGCAGCACAATTTGCAATTGCAAAAATATGTAACCAGCCAACATGCCCATCAACCAATGAGTAGATAAAGAAAATGTGGTGTATATAGATACCATGGAATACTATGCAGCCATAAAAATGAGCAAAGTAATGGCATTTGCAGCAACCTAGATGAAGTTGAAGGCCATTATTCTAAGTGAAGTAACTTAGGAATGGCAAACCAAACATCTTATGTTCTCACTCATAAGTGGGAACTAAGTATGAATATGCAAAAATGTAAAAATGATATAATGGACTTTGGGGACTCTGGGGCAATGGTGGGAGGCGGATGCGGGATAAAAGATGATATATTGGGTACAGTGTACACTGCTTGGGTGACAGGTACACCAAAATCTCGGAAATCACTGCTAAAGAACTTATCCATGTAACCAAAAACCACCTGTTTTCCCAAAAACTATTGAAATGTTTAAAAAGTGCATTTCCTCCTTAAAAAAAAAAAAAAAAAAAAGCGAGGGAGAGAGGAGAGAGAATTAAGCTCATGGAAATGAAACCATGAACTTTTTTATGTTGAGAAGTCATAGCATTTGATCTTCTATTCACTTGAATCCCCCCATCCTTCACTAATAATTACTGTAAATTAGATTATGTTTGCCCATCCTTACTTTTCCAGATTAAATAACAATTCATTGGCAAATCATAATCAAATACATCTTTCAACGTTTGTTCTTTTTTTTTTTTTAAATTAGCTGTTGGTGCAGTAATTCTCAACCCCCCAGTGTGCATTCAAGCAACCCTCAGAATTCTTAGTAAACACAGATGCCATGTACCTTCCCCACTTCACCCCAGCACCCTCATGCCAGAAGTACTGATTAGCAACTCTGTAAGTGGAGCTATCATTAAATGCTGAAAAAAAGAAATTCCATAGTTAATTTGATCAGTGCCAATAGGGCCCATTAAACCTGCAGAACCCTCAGCTCTACCTTCAGAGAATATAGGTCTGAGGTAAGCCGAGGGATCTGCATTTTCATATTTTTACATGATTCTGCTGCAATTGGTCTTTGAATACAAGTAACGCTGCTTCAGGGGTTGAATTTGAAGACTTTTAAAATCAGGCTGACACACTATATGGTATATTGATCTGAGAATAAGATTATTTGCAAATACTTGTTAGTATGTTTCCTTATGGTTTCTTCCTTAAAATGTTGAAATTTGGAACATAAGCACCTCTGTCCTCAAAAAAGAATTAGGCAGATATTGGCAGACTTAGCTACTTTTTACCATGGAATTGAAGACTTTTGGAGAACTCCAGATGATATAAAAAGATGAAAGAAGCCAGGGGTGGTGGTACACACCTGTAATCCCAGTTACTTAGGAGGCTGAGGCAGGAGGATCACTTGAGCCTAAGAGTTCAAGTTCAGCCTGGGCACCAGAGTAAGATCCTATCTCTATTTTTTTTTTTAATAAAAGATGATGAAGATAGGCCAGGCGCGGTGGCTCAAGCCTGTAATTCCAGCACTTTGGGAGGCCGAGGCGGGTGGATCACAAGGTCAAGAGATCGAGACCATCCTGGTCAACATGGTGAAACCCCGTCTCTACTAAAAATACAAAAAATTAGCTGGGCATGGTGGCGCGTGCCTGTAGTCCCAGATGCTCAGGAGGCTGAGGCAGGAGAATTGCCTGAACCCAGGAGACGGAGGTTGCGGTGAGCCGAGATCGCGCCATTGCACTCCAGCCTGGGTAACAAGAGCGAAACTCCATCTCAAAAAAAAAAAAAAAAAAAAAAAAAAAAAGATGATGAAGATAAAGTGTAAGATGAGAAAGGAACACTGGGCTGTCTAGGTTTCTTCAACTCTCTCAGTATCAGGTAGCGGCTGCTTAAGGAAAACTCTGCCAGTAATATGTATTGTTTTGAGACAGGAAAATAAATAGACAAAATTGCGAAACATCATATGTAGGAAACATTTTAAAATTTTCTTCTCAAATTATGTGTTAGTCTATAAATGAATATGAAAAAAATTAGGTCTTTTACAAATACATTATGGTATCAGTGTACTTTATTATCACTTTCCTGTCCTCTATAATATTTTACTTTTCCCATAATCAGTTATCATATCATTTTAATAATTATAATCTCAAAAACCGAAAGTGAAACTTTAAGGGAAAATTGGGTTTGGATAGAATTATGGGTTAGTTCAGCAGTCCACTAGATGTTGAACAAGTCTGTTAAAAATAAATTGGACTTCAAATTAGAGAATAAGTGAACAGACTAATTGAATTTATTATCATAAGTATTTAATCTATAATTATTCTAGAGGAACTCACACTCATTCTTTGTTCTGACATTTTATCAGATATTTAACTTTCCGTGGACACTGACTTATATGGTCTGACTTCCAGGTTGGAAAATCTGCACTAAAACTTCCCTTTCGTAACTGATTTATGGCAAGCTGTATTGTTTAGTCACCAGTGTGTTAAATATGACAAAAAGAATCAAGAGCACTATGACAACAAACTCTGGGGTGTGGGCATGATTTTGTGAAAATAGGAACTTACCAAGTGACCTCACATC